CAGACCTGGTCGTGGCTGCATCGACCACATATTCACCATTCGTCAGGTTATAGAACATAGGCATACTTATTGTCGTCCGACAATGGTGGTCTTTCTTGACTTAAAAGCAGCATTTGACTCGATAGACCGCGAGATTCAGTGGCAGTGTCTGTCATTGGAAAGCATACCTCAGAAGTACATAAACCTTGTGAAGGCTCTTTACTCGAACACTACTAGTCGAGTCAGAGCTTATGGCGAACTGTCATCTGCTTTTGCAACCTCAAGTGGTGTCCGTCAAGGCTGTCCACTTTCCCCATTTTTGTTAACTTCATCATAGATCTACTGATGGAAATAACTTTCTCGTCGACTGAGTTCTCGGGTATTGATCTACCAGGAGGTCCACTAATCGACTTAGAATACGCAGATGACATAGTCCTGTTTGGTGAAGACGCTGACAAAATGCAGAGTCTTCTGGTAGCACTGAGCAACAATGCCAGGATGTTTGGAATGTGCTTCTCTCTCTCTCTCTAAATGCAAGTTGTTGCTTCAGGACTGGTCTGCGTTAACACCTGAACTAAGGATAGGGAGTGATGTAGTCGAACGCGTTGGCAACTTCACTTATCTTGGAAGTCTGATCAGTCCTAATGGGTTGGTGTCTGACGAAATCTCAGCACGGATTCGAAAAGCTCGATTGACTTTTGCCAACTTGCGTCACCTATGGCGAAGGCGAGATATCCGTCTATCAATAAAAGGACGAGTATACTGCGCGGCAGTTTGTTCTGTTTTAATTTACGGAAGCGAAACATGGCCATTAAGAGTAGAAGACACTCGTAAGCTATTAGTATTTGACCACAGATGCCTCAGAAATATTGCTGGCGTCTGCTGAGATCACCGGGTAAGTAATAGTGACGTTAGACGCAGGGTATTAGGGAAGGATGGTAAATCAGTTGATGAAGTTGTGAATCTTCATCGACTGAGATGGTTGGGCCACGTGTTACGTATGCCTGAACACCGATTACCACGACGTGCAATGCTAACCGGCGTTCGGGATGGTTGGAAGAAAGTTAGGGGCGGCCAAACCAAAACGTGGCATCAGTGCTTGAAGTCACTAACTTCTAGTCTGAGCCATGTCGGTAGATGCAGACTACTTGGTTGGGGTCCGCATGACTGCCGTAACCAATAGTTGGAGACTCTTGGTGACATGGTTCAGAATCGATCACAATGGCGTCGGTGTATACACTCCCTGTCTTCCCTTAAACTAAGAGATTAAAATTGCTTCATGTCTTTCTTTCTACTAACCAATTCTTTCTTCTTGTACTATATCTCTATATGCAATCTTTCTTTTATATATTGCCACCTTTGACCTAACCACTGCTATGAATCCGGTGTTCATCTTGTTGTGCTGATGCGGTATGGCAACCTGGACCGATGGATAAATGTGTCTGGTCCTACGTTGTAGCTGACTGACTGACTGACTGAAATTTTATTATTAAAATCTAAATGCTACATGAACTAGATTCGTTCAGTTTAGGTGCATAAAATATTATAGAATTTTAAGGAAATAACTACCATCAATCTAACTTTCAGCTGTAATATTAGTTGAAGTTATAAAAGTCAAGTTATACGAGTATCGCTGTAACTACTACATGGGTGAGTTGGATAACGTGAAATAAAAATAAATTTAGTAATTTCAGTAGTTGAGATCATGAAGCTAGACCACTGTGGAACACCTGGAAGCATTGGATGGCCGTCTCGTAGATTGGTTGAAGCTAAACATTAACACCATTGGATGCCGGCTCAGTGGTCTAGTAGTTGAGCGCTCGCGCTTGAGACTGATCGGTCCTGGGTTCGAATCTTGAGGGGTGGGGTCGTGTGTGCGCACTGCTGCGTCCCACAATAGGACGAAACGGCCGTCCAGTGCTTTCAGGTTTTCCATGGTGGTCTAGCTTCAATTGACTCATGATCTCAACTACTGAAATTACTACAATCTCCACAAAACTTCTGATACTAATAAATTTCGTATTTATTTACATAATACACTGTCTCAAAAATCTACAGGGAATTTCAATGAGTATAATAAAATAAATTGATATAGAGTGAAGCTATTGTAAATGTAATTCATAAAAGTAATTAAGAATTTTTGTATACCTTATAGTGTGATCAGTGTGTTTCATTATGAAAAATATCATTATCACTAACTCAAGTGAACATTCATGCAATAAATGAATTTTAAATAGTATTCTAATCATGTTTATTTTTGTCTAATATTTTGTACATAAGCAAGTAATTGGATTAAATGAAATACAATTTTCTTGAATAGCTATTTTGTCTTCTGAAATCTATTCTATCTGAAGGCTTGGTTCGATAAATTGGTCTTATGAGCAGTTAGCACTTTATAGAATAGCATTATTATACATTATCGATCGATCAAATTTTTGTATCCATTAGTCTAATACTCTCCAAACTATTTTTATCCTAGAAATCTTATTCACAAGTCACTCGGGTAAAAGACTTGGTAGCTCAACACATTATACCTTTCATGCGATTATTAGTGAGTACTGATAGAAAGATTTTGTGCTTATTGGTACAGTTAAAACAGTTTGCCACTAAACACCTTTTAATGACTAATTAGCCTATCCATTCCAGTTTTTGAATAAAAACGGAATCAGAATCGATCAGCAACATATTGAACATTCGAGTGATCCAATTTGGAATTCAACACGTACAAATCATTAGTTAAAATCTTTTCGACAACAGTCTCCAAATAACCACTGTCCATTTATCTAATGATAGTATTATGAAAGTAATTCCCTAATTCTGATAATCATTTGTTAGTATTTAGCATTTAGTGCTATAACCATGCAATTAGTGTTTAATCTTTCATAGGGTTTCGTGAATAAAGATGAGTTAAACAATTAGATTTATGAATATTTTTTGGTAATTTTTTAAAATTTTGCTACGTCTAAACCAGTATGACATTCTGTCGGGTCAGTTAATAAAATGATGTCCCAAACAAGTAACCTTGGTTCTTAGTGAGAGATAACGACAAATTCTGGATGACAACCAGTTCTTTTACTACAATACCAGTCTGTAATTAGAGTGCCATCGCTCACACACAAAGATATCTTAACGGTCTCAACGTATTTAATAAATGACTCTACATTTATCACAAGACTTTGCGTCATGGAAGTTAATATAAATTCTGGGGCATTTAAGATATCCGATAAATCATACGGTAATGATTACTAATATTTTGTATATTTTTCATCACCATGAAAATCTCTACTATATTTCATTTTACCTTATTTGCCAAAAATTACCAAGTTATTTATCAATGATTTTGACTATGTGATTCTGACACAACTCGTTTCTCCATAGATCATTGCGAAGGATCATAATTAATAAACACATCTGTAAAGTTTGTTAATGTTTTCATCAGTCAAACTAGATATCACACAGCTCAATAAACATTATTTATTGATAAATGAAATACAATCCATCATATCTGTACAGAACACTAATTAGAACATTAATAGTAGTAGTGTAGAAACTCGGTGACATTCGAACTTAGTGGTTATAAATAAATTTAAAAATGTATGTTGATTCATTTGAAATCGTTATTAAAATAAACATTCAATCTAAATATTGCTTCGGAAATTATTGGTCACAATCATTCTTTAAATTAAAGAAAATGAGTACGTGTTTATTAGTTTCTGTAAGTTCACAACAAGTTTTTTCTGTTAAATATAACTCGGTGCAACGTGGTATTAGTAAGGTCGATATATATATACTTACGCCTCGTCTAGGAGCATAGACCACCCACCAACACTCTTCATTCAACTCTGTCCTGGACAGTCCTTTCCAGCTCTTTCCAGTTATTATTCATCCTTTTCATATCTGCTTCTATTTCCCAACATGATGTATTCTTTGGCCTTTATCTTTTCCATTTCCATTCAGGATTCCAAGTTAGCATTTACTTCGTGATGTGGTTTGATGATTTCCTAAATGTATTTCCTATCCAATTCTGACGTCTTTTCCGAATTTCCTCTCGAGCTGGAAGCTGTTTTGTTCTCCCATAGTAGGCTATGGCTGATGGCATCCGGTCAACGGACATTGAGTATCTTGCGTAGATAATGGTTTATAAATACTTGTACTGTTTTGATAATGATAGTGGTAGTTCTCAAAGTTTTAACTCTGTACAGTAGAACTGTCTTGACGTTCATATTGAAGATTCTCATTTTGATATTGAATATATATATCTTATAGTTGAATGGAACAGTGAGAATTTCGAACTTTTTGTTTGTGAATTACTTTTACTCACTTCAAATTACTTTTCATAATATAGTATGTAGTAGTAGATCATCGTTAGGATCTAAGTGGACATATCATGTACAACAAGTATCACTTCACACCAAAGATTAGAAAAAGACTAACGTCCTTGAAAAAAATGCACACTCTTAATAAGCCACTGCAAATGTTGCATGTATTGCTTGTCAACATATGTATGTAATATTAATTGTATAAATTAAAAAACATCAAATAATCTATACGTTAATGTAATTTAACTGCAAAATGAACACAATCACTAACAGTGGTCATTTATATTCAGTACCTTATTTAATCTTCATTGAAGATACTAAGAAATTTAACTGAATATAAACCATATTAACTTGATTCTTTACTCATTCTTAATTTGAGAATAAAAATTTCATATTGTTTAATACTACTCATCAGTAAGCTGAGTTAGTATTCACATTGATTTTCACGAATTATTAGTTACTCGTTTTGTATAGAAACTATTTCTTAAAAAAAAACTATATTAAAGTGAATAGAGGCTCAACTTACATGCAAAATAATGAATAATTAACGACTTCTTATTAATGAACCTTCATATACGAATGAATATATATACAACTGAACATAAACATACAGAGAATATTCACACCATAAATATTTGTATTTTCATAAGAAGTTTATATATAGATAATCAAAATTAAGAAAAATAAAGTTACATAAAAGACAGAGAAAGAAAAATTATTACATGTTTTTTAACAGATTGAAAAACTGACAAATTAACTACACACATACAAAGAAATAAGTCAACTATAATTGTGCATTGCTTATTGTTGTAGATGTGACTAAGGAATGGTCTGCTGTTGTATTCTCAATTGTGGATTGTAATAATTCGGTAGTTTCATCTAAAAGTTTGACAAAAATGTACAAGGTATATTTATTGGTCTAAACAGTTCAAGTGTATAATATTGACGTAAATATTAAAATTTCAACCATGCTATAAATAGTGTTGCAGTTTGGGGCCTATGTACATACTTACTTACACCTGTTGCTCCTCGTGAAGGAGCATAGACCGCCCAACTCTGTCCTGGGCAAGGAGCTTACATACTTATGCAAATATAACTTTCTATTCCCATAGTTTCAGAAGTAGAACATTTAACCAGTAAATTACAGAAATTTGGTTTGAATTAGGCTTAAATTTAAGCTATTGGATTTGTGCAAATAAAATAACTATGGACACACCATTCCTATTTAAACATTAAGAACACGAATTTCAGCAAAGTGATCTCTCTTCAACGAATTTATTATCAAGCTGCACAATCGGATATACTATATGTGAAAATTCTTTAAAGTATTAGTGCCATGAGAGCATATGAACAAAGAAGAAACAATATAATTATAACCTTTCTATTACATTATCATGTTTATTCTATTTTCATATGTCATCACGGTACTAATACGTAAAAAAAATTTCACTTATGTATACACTATTGAACAGCTTTTTTATATCAATAAATTCCGTATTGGACACCAAAATAAATAAATTTTTGACTAGATACTTACGTGTCTCTTCAGTTGTTACATTTTGCTCATTCTCAGTATGTTCAATAGTTTTTACTTCTTCAGATGAATTATGATTAATTTGTTTATCAGACATTGATTCTTCATTTGAATTGATACATTCAGTCTGAAAAGTAAATCAACAGAAAATCAATACAAATTACTGTTCTCCCATAAAACAATAGTCCATTTTAATGGTTGGATTCATCAGTTAATTAAAGCTAGACCATCATGAAAAATCTGAAATCACTGGACGGTCACTTCGTTCTAATATGGGACTCTTTAGCATTGCTCATCCACAATCGCGCATTACCGAGAAGTTCCGTACTAGAACGAAACGAACGTCCAGTGCTTTCAGGTTTTTCATGGTGGTCTAGCTTCAATTGACTCATGAATTCAACCATTAAATTACTAAAATCTCCACAAAACCCTCTTGTGATAATAATCCTTTTTATCGTACTATGTTATATCATTTAAATTTAAAAGAAAGGACATATTTAGCGTGAATAGGTTGCTTAAAAATTATACCATATGCATTTTTAACGAACTAAAATACAGTTCTTAATGTTTAAGTGACTAATATCCAATGTTATTTTCAATCATGTTATATATTGACAGAAATTATAAGATAAATAAATGTAAATAGTATAAAGTGAGAGAAATAATGATCTAATTACAAATTAGATTAAATATTTGGTGAAAGACTACATAGTGACTACATATAAAGTGACATGAACTCTGTAAACAATAACAAATTTGGAGCTAAGTTCTAATTGAATTATTCATATATCTGGAAGATAATTATTAATGATTTAAAGATATGTGAATAATAATGGTAATGATTATGATATCTGAATTAAACTAATTTTAAGTTATGAAAATATAAAAGGGTAAAGGTTGTATGTTCATTAATGAAATCAAGTCATTCTATAATATAGATGACTACTAACTTATTGTGACTATGGTTGATAAAAGATAATAGGTTGAACATATTTCTTTTACATACATAAATCTGGTTTTTTAGTAAGAATAACTATGATTTTTAGCGTTCGGAAGATTAGGACTTACAAAATTTGGTAAAAAGTTACTAATCAGGTAGACTATTGAGAATGATGTATGTTGGCACCATAACTACTGTTTCAACAATGCCTAAGTGAACCTGGAAGGGTTTCACATGAACAGAAATATAAGTCCCTAGAAACCCGGCCAAATTAAATGTATTCACATGCTACAATTATCAAAAATCTATTTACCCTAAACTTTCCTATTCTTCTGGATTAGTAATTCGGATAGTATAACTGAACAATTTGGCTATTTATTCCCTGAAGAAGTGACTTACACTAAGTCACGAAACGTCAGAAAATCCAATTTTCTACTCATTGGGATATTACAAATATATTATTTTTATTTCTAACCTGAGGAAAATTTATTGAAAGAATATCCTTCGTTCATATAATAATGTTTTAAAATAATGAGAATTTTTAAACAGTTCTAATTAAACCGATTACCTTATATTCCATAACGGGCTTTTCCTTTTTAAAGGAGTGATGCTGTAAGGTTTATTTGGAAAAAAACAACAACAGTAGAATATATTAAATTACAAGGTTATATACTTTCAATAAAGAATTAATCACTGAGCTTAAGAAGTTACTAAACTAAGACCAGTATGATCGTTGTTAACTAAATGGTTACTAATTCTTATACTGTAGCCAATAAATACGATATTTAAGTTCAACATATTTTTTAGTTACATTTAGTCATTGCACATTCAGTGAGTACAAAACCTTAAGGACTAAAATGTAATACTGAGTTCCGCCGAAAATATTTGATAGTCAATTGTGTCAAATAGTTTGAATGTAACATTTTTTAGTGTTACAATGCAACTGATGAGTTTAAACTGGAAGACTCTCATAGTTCGAGTAAAAATAGTTTAATTTTTGAAGATCAGTATCGACAAATACAAGAGAACAATTTGTTACTCCTTTATAAATACGTTAAACTACTTATTGATAAACTTTGACAAACTATACGTTCATTTCAACTGAATTAAGATAGCTATGTAACTGTATAATTTCATGCCGGAAACCACACCATCTTCGATGAAGTAAATGATGCGAAATAGGTCAACTTTAATTTCAAAAGACACTTACTTATATAGGAATTTTATGCAAACTTGATTGTTTACTAGAGACTACATACTAAGAAAATATACAGAATCACTACAAAATCCTATGTTGTATAGTATACTGAACAAAGTCCAAACTAAATTAATGCACATCCATATTATCTAAAGTAAACGTTATATTGATAAAATACCATTGAAAAACTAGTACACTAGTCAACTATCATACTCAATTATAACGAATGTTATATTAACCAAAAACTACAGAATTGAAAACATCATCTCAAATTATAATTCTGTCCTAACATATTGTCAATGAATTTTCACGTATAATGAAGATTAATGCTATCAAATATGATATCTATATATGGATAAAATTAAAATTTTCTACCTTTGGTAAATGAATATGTACATTTTTCTTTAACCATTTGACTAGATTGACTTTTTTCTGTTAACAACAAAAAAAGAATTATGAAATGATAATATGATCAGTATCAGAGTTATCAATCGAAATTACAATTTGTCATAAATTTATCCATCAGTAAATCAATTAACTAACCTTGTGTTCTTTGTCTTTCTCGCCTGATGAATTCTATAATGATAGAAGGGAATAAATAACTATATTACAGTAGTAGTAGTAATTAGTATTTGAATATATAAATATATAATGCTAAACCATGTAAATTGATTATACTTTAACGAAGTGAAAATACTTACTGTCTGGATTTGTTGTACGTAACGTTTTATGTAGTACTACCAAGATTAATTTCAAAGAAATACAATATTGAATAGAGTGGTTTATTTATTTATTTTTAATGTTATATTTGTGATATCTTAATGAGTTTTTCTAATTTCGTTTGCCAATGAGGCTTGTGTTAAAATTGTGTAAACGTCATTTGTATTATAAGGAAAATGAGATCTACATAGTCATGAAAAGTTAGAAATTGAATTTTTTTCTGGTTATTTGAATAATTCAAACATACTATGTTGCCATATGATGATAAGTGAATATTGTGAAAACCTAATGGAAACTATCCTCAAAATAGTGAATTCATTTAATTACTTAGAATATATCACTACAGTATTCTTTTTCCTCTTAGATAAATGAAAGTTATTTTTATATATGTGAACTATCAGCTAAAAGATAGAATATTAAATGTTGATTTTATAGCAATATGGTTGGAGGTTGCCTGTTGAGTTATAGCTTCACTTTTCTTAAGAACAAATTAGGTGTATCACAAAAAGATAATCTCTATTATTGAAGATCAACTTTGCAAGTGCTATGATTCACTGACACTGTCTAAAATCAAGCTTAAATGATATTAATCTCTAACGAAATAATTCAAACAAATAATAGCTTGACCACTTATTCTTTATGCGGCCATGTTGATAACAGCGATAATAATAATAATAATATCTAGTCCTCTATTATCGATTAGTAGAGAAGAGAAATGTATTATTTGATGGTTTGTTATTATTTACTGTCACAAACACTAACCACTACTTTCGATATCTGATTTAATGACTAACTATAAATGTAAATATTTGATCAACATGGTGAGATAAACTGATTAATGCTTTACAATAACAATCGTTTCACAATATAGTATGATCATTTCACTAGTCAATTATTGTTATCTTCATTAACGTGTTATATTCATGAGTTATGAACTTAGTGTAGACTTCCAACCAGTAGTACATTACTAGCATGAATTGTTATGAATAATGGACTGTTTAAAAAAAAGATTGTACATATATTAGCCTAAACTTCAAGCCAATGAATTCAACTTCAGTTTATCATTAAGTTATAATTGCTGAATCATGGTTATCATGACGCATGTTCTTTTAAAACTATGAACTATTATCAGCTAAAAATTATAGATGGATAATAGTAAGGTTTCTAATTGTAGTTTAACGCATAGTTTACAATATTTGATATTTGTAATTATTTCCCTGAATGCAAAATCAAACTAATTGACTGATTAATCAAATTACCAAAGAAAAAAAATTAAGGCTAAAATGATTACCTCGGTTGTTTCAGATTGTTCTAGATTTTTGTCAATGATTTCAAAAGTTGATGGTTTTTCTGAATCATCTTCTTTGTCTGAAATTTCTTTTAATTTTGTATGTTTGTCTTTTTCTTCTTCTTCTTCTTCTTCCTCTTTTGCTTCATCGTCACCTTCATTTTCTCGACTTTTCAATATTTCCATTGATGAACTAACATCTGTTTTACACTGATCATTTTCTTTAATTACAACAGCTTCATTCTATTTATTTTAAAATATGAAAATTAATGAAAGAGTCAATGTTTACTTGATTCTCTTCTTGTTTATCTAGTTCACTATTATTTACTATTATTTCTTCTGATTGTATAGAATCATCTTTTATTGGATAGTGTTGATCCTAGAAAATAAAATTTCATATTATCAATTATTTGAATAGAAAATAGTTTACATGGTTTCTTTCTACTTCATTAGGACAATTCACTATTTCATCAGTGTTACAAATAGAGGTTTGTTCATCTGACATTTCTATTTTTTTATTTTACTGAATGTATCTTCAAAATCGTAGAATCTTTTTTTTTGTCTGAAACTCAATTTATTATTTATTGAGTTAACTAAATGAGGTCAATGTTTATATAAGAAACATTGGACAGTTTGATATGAATTTCATTGGTTAATTAATAATATTGTCATTATCATCATTATGATTAATTATTTTACATGTAATAGTTTCATTGTAAAAAATAAAGCTTAATCAAAATGAATGTATTTCATTGATAAATCACGTTTACAACTAGATATACATTTATGTAAGTATGTTTCTGAATCAATTTAATATTTAACAAACATATTTATAAAACATAAAGTTATCATTTCATTATTGTTATCGGAAATAATAACGAATATGTTAAATAATTACCAAGTAATACAATGGTAACAATAATGTTTCATTTACCTTAATTATTGAATACAAATTAGAATATGGTTACTGAATTCAATTAAATTTGAAAATAATAATTGAGTATATAGCTATAGATTGTTTTTTTTTAGTGATACAAAAAATTTATCTCATTTTTGCTTAGTAACTGAGTTAATATTCATTCTTCGGCAAGACTATAATTTATGGACGAGCCAATCAGATTTAAGATAACAGGTCTTGGATTTTGGAGCAAAATTCACTCACTCATTCGTCCAAATAGCGTCTTGGCATTTTAACTGATGTCAGTTTGTGATGAAAACCATAAATCTAAATTTTAACCTTTACCATCGACTGTAAATCATTGTCTTTATTCTTTAAACTGCTTTATAACCTTCATTTAGCTCTATTAAGTAGGTAGACACTCTCAAGGTCACTTTGGCATCGCTCAAAGGTCATCCATAAATTACAGTCTCATCCATTCTTCTTTTTGACTTTTAGTCACATTACTTATATTAGGGTTAATGATACTAGCAAACTATTCAAGTCGTAGTAAATGGGTCGAGGTTTACATCTGCAGTCCTATTGTTGAACATGAAGTGTATTTAATTACTGAATCATGATCACACCAATGATTGAATATTATAACAATAGAAAGAAGTATTTTTTTCTATACAACACATCAATCAAATATTCAGAGTAAGATGGGTAAAGGTTAAGCTTAAATAAACTGAAACATATCTTCAGTATTAGAAATCAGTGGTTATTGATTTAAGCCATATTACAACAGCCAGATTTCCTAAATGATGTTTACTGACATTAAGTAACGTGTTTTGAAATCTATCCAAATAATCCAGGTTCATTCTTTCCTTTAAAAAAAATTCTAAGTCTTGAGTTCCAACATTCCTTCATACATTTTTTAACATTTTTTTTACCAATTCTATCTCAAATATATCCTATTTACTACTCAGTGATATTGATTCCATGCTGTTGATCATCTTTGATCTTGTCACTGTGAGATACAACAACTTGGATAGATAATAAATCAGTATGTTTGTAATATCCTAATGAGTAGAAAAATTAGATTTTCTGACGTTTCGTGACTCGGATTTAGTTATTAATTCTCTGAAGAAGTGGCTTACACTGAGTCACGAAACGTCAGAAAATCTCATTTTTCTACTCATTGGGATATTACAGATATACTGATATATTTATAATAATTTAACCTATGCTCAATTTATTCGAAATTATCAAGTCAAACCTTGATAATGATACCTACAAATTGAACAGATGTTTATTTGCTACCGTAATCATGGTTAGTTATAGTTAACTAATCGAATCATGCAGTATTATCTCATAATTGAGTCATTGAAATGTTCAGTTATGAGATAATTAAGTACTGCAGTATTATTATGTTCAGTATTGTTTAATTGTTGAGGTTGGAATTTTATATTCCTGTCATGAATTTTATTTTCTCTTCTTTATTAATCCTGAATCTAAGACTGTGTATCGTTTACCTCCAGTTACTAAATATCAAACAAGATTCGCTTCAATATCAAGTCACCCCATCTAGTCCCTAAAATGCAACTTGAATGATAGGTTTTCCATTAACCCTAACGTGACAGTAGTTAGTTAGTGTATAAAAACATTATCTCATAGAAAATATAAACAGGATAACTACTATCAGTAATCATTGACATTTAAATCAATAAGTTAGTCACATTTGATAACCTTTTTTTAAAAATCAGTCATATAGAACTAAGTATCCACTGAATTATGATTCTCTCGGATACATTTACATACAAATAATCACAAATAAATAGTTGTCAACTTGTAATGTAACATTTATACTGAAATATTACACATTAAACTGAATTAGAATTCAACGCATTATTGCATAGTATATTAACATTCGATAAAAATTAATTGCAATTCATTTATTTGGTCATCAATGAGTTAGTCATTTAAAAAGACTCTTTAGTCATGTTATAACTTTAGGTTACTATATCTGTAATGATAATAAAAAGTTTTGTATTGTGCCAATTTTGCTGTAACCGTTTTATTTTTATTTATTTATTTTTTTGAAAACAAAACTATCCAATGTTTACAAATAAATAAATGTACAATTTACTCAAACAACTAAGTAGAACTTGAGTATTTATATAATAAAACATTTATGAAAATACACCTAATTCGACCACTTTAATCAAACATGAACAAAATACATAAATACATTTTGATAATGTTATACTTACAAACATAGTTTGTAATAGTTACTAATAATGAACTTATCATGAACAATAATTTACCATTCTATTTATTTGGCACGTAATCATAAATACTGTTTCATTAATGTGAAACTTATCTATCGATTATGACATGTGTCTGATATGATTAGTGTATGATTTCATTTTGCCTCTCTCTCTCTCTCTCTTATTTCATTTATATAGATATGTATCGTCAGAAATATTTAGTTAGAAACTATTTTATAAAATGACTAACTGACATTCTGGTGAGGTAAAAATGTAACCAGCTCATTGAGAGATATGAAAGCTATAGGGTTGGTCCTATGTAGGTTAGTGATTGTATACCAGTGAGTTTTCTACTAGTCTGAGGCATCTGTCTGGTGTTCAATTTATAATACAAGCTATCTTGGAGAGTTTAAAAAACTTTTTGAAATGGCGGAATCGGACATCTCAGTTTGAAGATTGACGGTAGATATACTATGAGAAAGAGATGAATAATACTATGTTTAATAACAATCATGAGTCTGTTTGACCATTTTTAAATTATGTTCAAAGATTTATACGGATATTCGTCAAGATTAGAACGAACAGTTTGGCAGTAATTGAGCGCCGAGTATAGAGAAGTCACTATATGCGAAAATTATATTTGAAATAATCTCAGCGATTGAAATTTAACTAATTCCAACGTTTCGTCCAGCTAACTTGTCTGGACTTCTTCAGGGTAATAATCAAAATCAAAGATGATATATGGTTTATTTTATCTACTGGCTGAACTAAATTCCTTGGAATCAAATCAACTAATATCAACAACTTGAAAGTATCTGAAGACTAGTTTACTGTAATGCTAGAATTTTAAGTGGTATACAACCGTCAACTCATTACTGGAGAAACTAAATCCCACATCTACATGTCTTATACCAAGCATATTACTGTTAATTAACTGAATGAAGAAACAAATGTTGAACATTTTCACATTCAGCTCATCTGCTTATGATTATTTGAATGGCATTTTTATTTGTTTCAAAAAGTTCTAGCTTTGTCATGTGTGTCTGTTTAGTAGCTTAAAATTATCAATCCTAGTGTGTCATCATTGATTTTGACGACCCGTCATTTAACGTTCAATGATCATTCTTCCAAGGAAAAGATACACGTGGCTTTATAGATAATTTGACTGGGGTTATTTTTATTTTATCGATCATACGGATATAATAGCTGTTGCGCTGAATGATAATCCAGTCAGTCATCTACAATGTAGGATCAGGGACATACATACATCGATCCAAGTTGCCATACCTCATGAGCACAACACGATGAACACCAAATTCATAGAAGCAGTTACTTCAAAAAAACATTTCATATAAGGATATGATACAAGAAGAAAGGAATGGTTCGTAGAAAGAAAGATAAAAATCAACTTTATTCTCACAGTTTAAGGGAAGACAGAGTGTATAAACCTACGCCATTGTGATAGATTCTGACCCATATCACCCAGAGCATTCAACCATTGGTCGCAATAGTCACACCGATCCCAACCAAGTAGTCTGCATCTATCAACATGGCCTAGACCAGAAGTTAGTGACTTCAAACACTGATGCCACGTTTTGGTTTGGCCACCCCTAACTTCCATTCGTCTCCAACACAAGTCAGCATTGCTCGACGTGGTAATCGGTGTTCAGGCATACGTAACACGTGGCCCAACCATCTCATTCGATGAAGATTCACAACCTCATCAACTGATCTACCATCATTCCCTAATACCCTGCGTCTAACATCACTATTACTTGCCCGGTGATCCCAGTAGATGCAAGCAATATTTCTAAGACATCGGTCATTAAATATTAGTAACTTACGAGTATCCTCGACTCTTAATGGCCACGTTTAGCAGACGTAAAATAGAACAGAACGAACTGCTGAAAAGTATACTCGTCCCTTAATTGATAGATAGATATCTCGCCTTCGCCAAAGGTGACGCAAGTTGGCAAAAGCCAAGCGAGTTTTTCGAATCTTTGCTGAGATTTCGTCAGACACCAACCCATTAGGGCTGATCAGACTTCCAAGATAAGTGAAGTTGCCAACGCGTTCGACTACATCACTCCCTATCCTTAGTTCAGGTGTTAACGCAGACCAGTCCTGAAGCAACAACTTGCATTTAGAGAGAGAGAGAGAAGCACATTCCAAACATCCTGGCATTGTTGCTCAGTGCTACCAGAAGACTCTGCATTTTGTCAGCGTCTTCACCAAACAGGACTATGTCATCCGCGTATTCTAAGTCGATAAGTGGACCTCCTGGAAGGAGATCAATACCCGAGAATTCAGTAGACGAGAATGTTACTTCCATCAGTAGTTCTATGATGAAGTTAAACA